CCGTCGCCCTCAAACCGGAGCCAGTGCCCACGCGAGGCACTGACAGCCGCGCGGACCTCGCCGCGCATCTAATCAACAGGGCCGCCGACGCCCGCCCGCCCCAAGCTCCGCGTCTGGCCCGGGGCCGCGCCGCAGGGCTTCAGGCGTTTTACGACCACCCGAAGCTCCAGTACAACGCGCACAGCATGACGGTTGCTGCCCCCGCCATGGCGACGGCCCAGGGCCGCTGACCGCAGTCGCGCCCACTGGCGAGTTGCCCCCGCCACTGCCCCGCAGCACTCCTGTTGCCGACTTGCGCCGTGGCCCAGGCCCCGAGAACGACGGCGTCACTCTCGGCCGCGCGGGCAATAGAGACGACGAGGACACTTGCCCTCATGTTGCCCCGGGCCGCGGCCAGCAACGCCCCGGCTGCTGAGTCTGACACACCTGCCAGAGCAAAGCCGACGCCGCCAGCTCCACATGGATCGGGCTCTCGCCGCGCCGCCCCGAGGAGACAGCGCGTTCGCCTTGCCGCGCCCAACTCGAGCTCCATGCCGAGCCAGCTAGACCTACCGCGGTCGCAACTGCTGCCGCCAGGGCCACTGGCCTGGCGCCCTCCTCTGCCGCCCGACCGAGCCGAGATGCCTCGGCCAGGCATCCCCCCGTCGGTCGTCGGGGGCCCGCGGCGACGCCCGCCGTCGCCCCCGAACCCGAGCGAGTGCCCGCGCCAAGCGCTGACCGCCGCACGGACCTCGCCGCGCCTCTAGCCAGCAGGGCCGCCGACGCCCGCCCGCAACATGCTCCGCGCCCTGCCCGGGGCCGAGCTGCAGAGCTATAGGCGTCCTACGGCCAACTGGGTCTCCAGAACAACGCGCTGTCGAGTAAGGTCCGCGCCCCGACCTCCCAGCAAGGCCAGCTGATGCAACGCCTGTGCAGCGCTGAAGCCGCCCTTGCCTCCCTCCGACCCTTGCCTTTGCCGGACGGGGCGTCGCCCGTCTCAGCTCTGCGTGGCCCTCTCAATGCCATGCACGCCCGCATAGGGCTTCCTACACGGCCAGAGGCTCCATCTCTCACCAGCTCGATTGCCCGCGCGGCCGCGCGTCACCGGGGCCTGGTTGCGGCGGCGGGGGGCGCCCCGTCGTTCGCAGGCCGCTCAGCGGTCGAGCCCTTGTCCCCCGGCTGCCGGCCGGGGCTTCGCCGACCTGGGCCCTTTTTCCCCCGCGGGGCGCAGAGAGACGTGGCGCATCGCCTTCCTCAGTCCCTTAGCGCAGGGGGGGTGGTTGTTTCAACATCCCCTGTTCCCCAAGGTGCGCACCACCGCCAAGAGTGCGATGCCAGCCTCGGCTACCGCAGTAGCCTGCTGTCGACGGGACTCCCGTTTGCTTGTCCGATTTCTCTCGCTATCTATCTCTCTCTCTCTATCTCTCTCTTCTCTCCCTCCTCCTCTCTCTCTTTCTCTCCGCTGTCTCGTGCGATGATGGCGGCGCTTTCGAGGAGCAGCTCAATTTTTTCCTCTTCCTACCCGAAGCTTGCCTCTCCTCATCTTCCCCCCCTTGCTCTCCCCGCCCAAAGTCCCCCCTTTCCTCGCTCTCCGGTGTCCTCACTTTTCTTTCTTTCCGCGGAACTTAGGTCACCCCGGCGACGGCGGCGCCCTGAATAACAGCATCTGCTCTAACACCTGAACTGCTACGTCCACTCTCCTCCCCTGATCCCCTCCCTCCATCCATCCTTCGCGCGCTCAATCCCTGGGATGTCTTCCCAGCGTGCCAGTGCACCCGCAGGGCTCCAACTGCCCCCCCGCACCCCGCACCCCTCCCCTGCCCTCGCCTCCCATCCCCCTTCCCTCTCCTCCCTCGCCTCTTCCCTCCCTCGCCTCGCATCCCCTCCCTCCCTCGCCTCCCTCGCCTTGCCTCCCCGCCTTCCCTCCCTCGCCTCCCCTCCCTCGCCTCCTCTCCTCCCTCGCCTCCTCCTTCCCTCCCTCGCCTCCCCTCCCTCGCCTCCCTCGCCTCCCTCCCCTCACTTCCTCCGCTTCGTCTCCGCTCCCTCCCCCTCCCCGCCTCCACCCTCCACCCCCCCTCCCCCGTCCCCTCCCCTCCCTCCCCCTACCCCTCTCCCTTTTCTCCCCTCCTTCCCCTCCCACCCCCCGCCCCCTTCCCCTCCCCCCCCCCCCTCCCCTCCCCCCTCCCAACTCCTTTCCCCCGCCCCCTCGCCCCTCCTCTCCCCTCCCAACTGCCAACTGCCCATGCCCCCTCACCCTGCCCCCCTGCCCCCTTCGCCTGCACGGAAGCGTGACCCTAGGCCAGAGTGGCCTTCAGTGCACGGATCAGGGGGGGCGCACGGCGGCCAAGCCCAGGCAAGCGAGCAGCCATTATCACATCGCCCTCGGCGATCGGAGGGACCCCGGCGAGCCCGCACCAAAGGTCACTCCGGCGAAGGGTCACTCTTACGTGCAGGCGAAGAAAGCAGCCCAGACATGCGACCTGATTCTTTCAATGCGCTGTCCCCGGAAATCCCGACCCTTTCCCGAGGGCCGGTTTTTCATCCCGAGTCGGTTCTTGATGGCTCCGGGGCCAAGCGAGGGCCCCCAGGGGCCAGAAACAGCGCAAGACCTACCGTCCTGCTTTTTCCACGACGCGAGCATCTGTGGCAGGATCGCCCCGAGGAAGGCCGGGCAACCAGGCCACCACCCGCCCCCCTCAGAGGAGGAGGGAGGAGGAGGAGGAGGAGGAGGAGGAGGAGGAGGAGGAGGAGGAGGAGGAGGAGGAGAGGCCAACGCGGTGGTCGACGACATCACGCTGGCGGTCCACGATAAGAGAGCGCAGGCGGAGCACATATTGGTCGGGGCCACCCGCATGCTGTGCCAGAGCCTGGAGGACATCGGCTTCAAGATCTCGGCGACCAAGGGCCAGATCCTCAGCTCTGATGGGGAGGTTGCTCGCCGTGTGGACGGCAGGCTCAAGCGCTGGCAGTTCAGGCACGTGAGGGCCACGAAGAACCTGGGCGTGGACTTCGCGATGTCCAAGAGGGCGTCTTGGCGGGTGCTGCGCCAGAGGATCAACCGTCTCAGGCAACGAGCAAGACGCTACATGGCCCTGCAAAAGGCAGGGGCCAAGAGGCTCTCCCAGGTGTTCAGCACGGGTGGTTTGGCCTCGATCTTGCACGGCGCCAGGATCAGTGGGGTACCTCCGCAAGCGCTGCAGCGTGCTCGCGCGGTTAACGGGAAGGACCTGATGGGCGAGATGGGCAGCAGGTCTCGGACGGTGCTGTTCGCGCCGCAGGAAGGCCGAGCCTGGAATCATGACCCCGCCTACGCCGCGCACGAGCTTCCCCTAAGCGCGTGGGCGAAGGCCGTCTTCCTGGGGTACAGGCCCGCGGCGGCTTTCAAGAAGGTGCTGGAGGTGGAGCCCGACAACTGGGGCGACGTCGCGGGTCCAGCGGGGGCAGTCTGCCTCTCGCTGGAGCGCCTTGGCTGGACCCTCAGGAAGTGGCACCTTTGGGAGGACGCGCTTGGCCACGTCATGGACCTGCCGCTCCTAAGCCCGCGCATGATCGCCAGCTTAGTGGAGACTGGGGTCTACCGCTACCTGATGAGGCAGGTGACCAAGCACGAAGTTTTCGAGCATGGACGAGAACTGCCACAGGGCTGGGCTGGCGCGTCACGCGTGCTTCAGTGGCGTGATATGCATCGACGGCTCGGCGATGTGTCCCGAGGTGCCCAAGCTCACTCGCACAGGGTGGTCGGCCGTGATGGTGGATGGTGTCGGCTCGGTGCTCGGCGGCATGTACGGTTGCACGCCTGGATGGATCCAGGAGATTGGCTACGCGGAGCTGTACGCCCTGAACCGAGCCAGAGGGCGTCTACACGCACTGCAAAGGGGTCAGGGACGACTTCATGCGAGGGCCCTCCCACTGCTGCGGGCACGAGCACAAGTACGGGCACGAGCACAAGTACGCTGATTTGTGGAAGCTAGTGTTCCGCCAGGTCGAGGAGCTCGAGGCCGAGTTCGTGGACCTGCGGTGGGTGAAGGCCCACACCAGCTGGGCCGAAGCGAGCCGCCGCGGGACCACCCTGCAGGCCTTCGGAGGGAACCGCGAGGCGGACGCGAGGGCGCGGCTAGGCGCGAGGCTCCACCCAGGCCAGCAACTGCTCGCGGAGCTCGAGAGCCGCTGGAGTGAAGCCGCATCGCAGGCCGTTGCCTGGTGCGGCCACCATGGGGGAGTCCTGAAAAGAATGGCGGCTCTAGGGTGACCTGACAGAGTTCCCCTCCCTGGTCCTCGGGCTCAGGATCCAGAAGCGCTCCTCCTTGGGGTTGTTCCGTCTGCGGGGTCCGACGTGCTTCGAGGGCCAGGGCCGTTTCAAAGAGATGCCCAGGACTCCCCAGGTTGGTTGCCCAGTCCCACCCATCCCATAGGCTGTGGGTGATTCGGGGCGGGGGCGACGGGCCTGGAAAGGGGTCCTGTGGGAATGGGGGGGGGGGCACGATAGTGTTCTGCTGGACGTGCGGGGCCTATGGGCGCCGACAGGCCCATCTCCTGACGGACTGTTGTGTTCCCCTGGCCAGGAAGAGCTGCGATGCGGCTAGGCTCGCGCGCAAGGTCCTCGACAGGCTCCGAGGAGGACGTGAGCCCCAGAGTGGTAGCTACTGGGGTTCCCCATTCCCAGTGTCTAGGGCGGCGTTGGCTGTCTAAATCCGAGGGACCCTCGCCCGCGCCAGGTCTCTCTTTTTCTCCTGGCGGGCCTTGGGTTTCCTCTTGGTGAGTTTTCGATCCCTATTCAAGGGAAGTGGCTGGCTTGCGGAGCGGAGGAGGAGGAGCAGCAGGAGGAGGAGGAGGAGGAGGAAGAGGAAAAGAGGAGGAGGAGCAGCAGGAGCAGCAGGAGGAGGAGGAGGAGGAGGAGGAGGAGGAGGAGGAGGAGGACAACGACGACGACGACGACGACGACGACGAGGGCGACGACGACGAGGAGACAGAGGGGCCCCCTCGCCTCCCGCCCCCCTCAGAGGAGCCAGGGCCGGCGCAGCCTGGGTGCACAGCACGCCGCCCGTGGGCGGCTGGAAGTCCAGCGTCCTATGCCGCAGGCTGCGAGTGCGGCCGCTGGCCACGGCCACCACCGCATGGTAGCCCGCGCAGCTCTCCTGACGGAGCGCCTCCTCCCTCCCTCCTTCCTTCCGCCCTCTTTCCTCTTCCTCCTTCCTCCGTCTTCGTCCACCATCCTCCTCCCATCATCGTCCTCCTCCTCCTCCTCCGCCTCCTCCGCCTCCTCCTCTTCCTCCTCCTCCATATCCGTCGACCTTCTCTATGCGCACTTGTTAGTCATCCTTTGCCTTCATACTCTTCCTCCTCCCTCTTCCCTAATCCCTCCTCCTTCCCCCGTCCTCCTCCTCCTCCTCCTCCGCCTCCGCCTCCGCCTCCGCCTGCTCCTCCTCTTCCTCCTCCTCCTCCTCTTCCTCTTCCTCCCTACTCCCTCCTCCGACTCCACCTCCTCCACGAGTGGTGCCAGTCCGCATACCGCCTCAGGACTCTCTCTCTCTCTCTCTAGAGAGAGAAAGAAAAAAAAAGAAAGAGAGAGAGGAGAGAGGGGCCGGAAACTTCGCTTCCGCACAACTCGTTCGGCTCTGGAACGGGACTCGTCGATCAGAGCCTGGGCTCACATTCGTCTCTCGATCAGCGCGTTCTACTACTCGCAAAATAACTGCTCGCAACTGGCCTGGATCCTCCGCGGGGGATCTACGATCTACGATTCATTACATCGAGGGCAGCACATGCTTTCCGGACGCTTGCGAGCAGGCACTTTGCGAGCAGCGGAACGCGCTCGGATCGTCTCGCTTTGCGTTGCAACGGGGCCTTGCCGGCGCACTGTGCTCCATGAACTCCGTCGGCCACCCCAGCCGCGGCCGCCCGCGAGTCCCCAGATATACGGGTGGGCGCGGCTGCGGCTCAGCTGGCCCCGCCCTGCCAGGAGGAGACATACCCCAGAGGGAATGGCGTATACCCAATCGCGCTCGCGAGGGGGTGGGAGGGCGATTGGGAAGAGGCCAGGCTCAGTCCGATGATCGCCTCGGGTATGCCTGCAGAGGCTGCGAGCGCTCCGTGCTGCACGCGCCAGCGGTCTCTGGCCTCATCTCCTCCAACCTCGTCCCCCCGAAGATGGGCGCCACGCTCGGGCCAGTCATAGCACTGCCTGAGCATAAGGACGGTCGCTTCGAGGCTCTCGCGGCGCTCTTGCCGCAGGGGAGCATTTCGATACTCTCGTGGGGGGCGTTTCGAGGGGATCGCTTGGGGCAACTCTAGAGGGCTCCCAGATGGGGTCCGAGTAGATGGGGTCGGATGACCGCGCCGCATCGCCGATACATCGGCGATGCGTCGGCGATGCGTCGGCGATGCATCGGCCATGCATCGGCGACGTTGGCGGTGCAGCAGCGGCGCCAGTGCGGAGACGATGGGGTTCCGCATCGGGCCGCATCGGCGATGCATCGGCGATGTGGTGCGATCCTCCGACCCCATGTGCTCTTACCCCATCTGGGAGGCCTGCACGGCATCTGATCGAGGTGTTTGGAAGCTCCCGTCGGGCTTCAAAACCTCGCCCGGGACCCACGCGGCCGCCGACGCTGGCAGACCGCCCAGAGACGCTCTGCTCGGGAGGCGCCGCCGCTGCCGCTGCGGGGCACGGCGCTGGTCCCCAGCCCTCCACCCCCTTCCATCCCGTCTTGTGCGCATGCGCATTCTTCCCTTCTCCGCCCGGCCAAATCTCCAACTCTCCACCGACGAGAAGGAGAATTGGCCGATCAGACGTGCAGGGTGTCGTCCGCGGGCGCGGTTTGCTTTTTGGGCGACCCACCCGCGACTGTGAACTTGGTGCGACTTCAATGGGATGCCAACGTGCTGCTCGGACATAGAATGTGCTCTCGTTCTCGCGTCGGCCGTCACGTGCCAAGCGTCAGGCTCTGCCGGTGCCACGCGCCCGACTGCCACAATTGAGCACGTGAGGGAGTTGTCCAAGGACGAAGCTGCTTCGCTGACGCGCAATCTAGCGGTGGAGTGGCATGCCGTCCTGACGACGCCGCCACTGGACTCTTCCCAGACTCCCACGCCTGCGAAATCCGCGAACGACCCGGACAGCGAGCATCTGTCGGAGGATCGCGCGCGGAAAGTTCGGCGCCTTGTGTCCGAGCCACTCTCCCCGCCTGCGTCCGCCTGTGCGCTGGCTTCTTTCGGGAGGTCGCCCTGGCCGAGAAGCACGCTTGCCAGCGCCAGGCTCTGCCAGTGCACTTTCGCACGGAGCTCTGTGGCCCAGCCTATGCCAGGCTCTGTCCGGTCATGAGCTGTGTTGGAAACGACTCGGCTACCGAGTCCAACGGGCTCGGGCTACTGGCGCGCAGTTCACTTGGAGGCGATGGCGCGAGTGCAGAAAAACCAAAACATCGCCATCAACACTCAACCACCACAGTCAGCAAACATCCATCACAGCGCAGTGGCGGTGGCACTGATTTGGCTCCATGGTGTCCCGATGGTGTCCCGATCGTTCTCAGCGCCACTCAGTGAGAGATCGACAATGGGATCGATCGCTGGATCAATCGATGCTAAATTTGGCCGTGAGGTCGATAGTGAGATCGATCGAATGAGATCGATAGCAGGGTCGCTAGTGACGTCACATCGCGGCGCAACATCGTCATCACGCGTCGTCGCCAACTCGAGGGCGCGCCACCACCATCGCCATCATCACACCCATCGCAGTTGCCAGTTGTTGGTTCTTCCCCCCAAAACCTCCTTATCACCCGAAAGGTGGTCGTATGTCGTATAGGTACAGGCTGTACCCTTCAGATCTCGAGGGGTCTATCCCCAACTGGGGTGGTAAAGTGGTAGGCTCGGGATGGGGATAGCGCTAGGGGTCAGTTAAACGATGCCGAGAGGAGAGGGGGGCGAGGGGAGGGACATGGCGCGCGCCATGGCCACGGCGAGGACCTTTCGGGGCCATGGCGCGCGCGCGTGTACTGAAGGTGGATGTGACGCCAATCTGTCATGGCCTGGTATGGGCCGTGTCCGGTCTCGCGAGGCACGAGTGGACGCGGGCCGCTTGGCCTCTGGGCCCGCTTTGAGTAGGAGCGGGCCAAGGGGAGAGGCAGACGAGGAGGGGGGGGAGAGGCGAACCTGACCTCCAGCGAGCCTCCCCAGGCCGCGTCCTGGCTCAGCGGCTCCTCCGGCTGCACCGGGATCCTGACCTCGGCGTAGATCCCCGAGGGGGCTTGCAACCGCAGCGGCCCCTCGCCGGCCACGTGCTCCTGCGATGAGAAGCACGAACGAGAAGGGCACACCTCCTGCTCCTTCTCCTGGTGCTGCTGCTGCCCCTCCGCCTCCTTCGCGTGGCTGGCCCCGGAAACCCTGAACCCGAAAAGGTTGCCACCTCTTGGGGGCGTATCTTTCACGTCCGCCAGCTTCCGCCAGCCTTCCGCTGGCGGAGGCCGCCTCGTTGTTCTTCCGCGGGCGTCCGCCGCCCTTCCGCCTTTCCCCGTCAAAGGAAGAGATGGCAACTCCTTCGATCCTCGAAGGCGAGGCCCTCTCTGGGACGCCTCAGATGTGCACGTGCGTGTGCGCGTTCCCTGGTGCACCTCACTTGCTGGCCACACGGCCTGCCGCTGCTGCCCGCCCTGCCGCGGCTCCTCGCTATCTCGTCGACCGCTCTGTAGCCACCCCGCTCGTCCCCTCTTTCGGCTGCCTCCCTGAGAGGCGCCCGCACAGGCTTAGATCGTGCGCAAACTGCGGCCCCCGACCTGCGCCCGCAGCGCGTGAGGCGCCCGCCGGGCTCCTGGATCGGAGTTCCGACAGGTTCCTCCCGCTTCAGCAGGCACCACAGTCCAGCGTACCGCTCGTTCCGCTCGGACGCCTCCGGGTCTTCTCGCGGCGGTGGCGCGCAGACCTCTGGCGGACTGGTCCCGCCGGCAGTCCTTCCCCTCCTCCTGATCCTCCGCCTCCCTCCTCCCTTGCTCCTCCTTCTACTCCTCCTCCTCCTCCTCCTCCTCCTCCTCCTCCTCCTCCTCCTCCTCCTCTATCTACCTCCTACTAACCTCATCGTTCATCTCCACTTCCCTATTTCTCCTCCTCCTCCTCCTTCTCCTCCTCCTCCTCTTTACCTACCTCCTACTATCCCCATCGTTCGTCTCCACCTCCCTATTTCTCCTCGTCCTCCCCCTCCTCCTCCTCATCCTCCTCCTCCTCATCGTCATCATCATCGTCATCATCAGCAGCAGCAGCCGCAACATCAGCGTCACCATCATCATCATCCTCCTCCTCCTCCTCCTCATCATCATCATCATCATCACCATCATCATCATCATCATCATCATCATCATCATCATCATCATCATCAGCAGCAGCAGCATCATCATCACCGTCATCATCCGCAGCATCATCATCAGCATCGGCATCAGCACAAGCATCATCATCATCATCATCACCATCACCACCACCACCACCATCATCATCATCAACATCATCATCATCATCATCATCAGCAGCAGCATCATCATCACCGTCATCATCCGCAGCATCATCATCAGCATCGGCATCAGCACAAGCATCATCATCATCATCACCATCACCACCACCACCACCACCATCATCATCATCAACATCATCATCATCATCATCATCATCATCATCATCATCACCATCACCATCATCATCATCATCATCATCATCATCATCATCATCATCATTATTATTATTATTATCATTGTCATTATCATCATCCGCATCGCAAAACTAATACTAATCATGAACATTAAAACGGATCAGCATCGGCAACATCATCATTACCATCAACAATAATACTAATGTGATATCAATACAAATTCTAGGAATAACTATCCCAGTGCGACCCTACCTAGGAGTTGGAACCCCTAGGAAAGCAGCATTAGTAGTAACAGTTAAGCTAAAGCTAAGCTAAAGCTAAAAGCTAAGCTAAAGCTAAGCTAAAGCTAAGCTAAAAGCTAAGCTAAAGTTAAGCAAGCTAAGCTAAGCTAAGCTAAGCTAAGAGCTAAGCTAAAGCTAAGCTAAAGCTAAGCTAAGCTAAGCTAAAGCTAAGCTAAAGCTAAGCTAAGCTAAGCTAAGCTAAAGCTAAGCTAAAGCTAAGCTAAAGCTAAGCTAAGCTAAAGCTAAAGCTAAGCTAAAGCTAAGCTAAGCTAAGCTAAAGCTAAGCTAAAGCTAAGCTAAAGCTAAGCTAAAGCTAAAGCTAAAGCTAAAGCTAAGCTAAAGCTAAAGCTCCCAGGGCACTGGGGGGAACCGCTCCCAGGGGACTGGGGGAACCGCCCGGGGCGTGTTGCACTGCCCGGCCCCTTTAAGCTAAGAGAGTAAGAACCCTTCTAGGCAGAGCCTAGGTAGGGAAAAATACAAGGACCATACCAATGTAAATGGTACTAAGCCATGATGAAAAGGATAGGAATGAACGTACTATTAGTAATGTTACGCATCGTACTATACTCCTAACCGTCCTAACAATACTGAAACAAAACAATACTAATGCAAATAATAATCCTCATCAGCAGCAGCATCATCACCATCACCCTCATCATCCTTGTCATCCTCCCATCTCTTCTTTCTCCTCATCCTCCTCCCCTTCCCCCCTCCTCCCTCCTCATATCCTCCATGTGCTCCCCCATCCTCCTCATCATCATCCGTACACTTTGTCCCCCCTCTCTCACGGCATAGGACACCGCAGCCAAGCGCACAACGTCGCATGCCATCCCATGCTAGCACTGCCCACGGAAGGACGACCCTTTGGCCACCGCTGTCGCACTGCCAAACCAACCGGCCCACGAGCCCGTGAGCGCAGCATCTGCCGTGTCGCCTACACCCTAGTATGCTGAGCGAGCTCAAATTTAACTGGGGACGCGACGAGCGGCACAGGTCAAGTTTGTTGCTCTGCGTTCCAGCGGCGGCGAAATGGCAAGCTGCAAAAATGGCAATCGCTGCAACACGCTGGGAAAGCGACTCCTCTCTCTCTCTCTCTCTCCCCCTGTCACGTCAACATGGCGCGACCAAACCCACGCTGGGCCCAGCCCCTGCCCCGTCAATGGAAGCGAAGGCGCGCCAGCTGGAAGCCAGTGCAACACTATAGCTGCGGCATTGGAGACAGCCGCTACGCTGAGACCAGGCCAGGAGCAAGACGCCAGCTGCGCTGTACAGATGGGGCGCTCAGACCCTCAACTGCCGTGCAACTCCCCGTCGCCAACCTGTAACGTCTCGTTACGCTGGCCAGTCGACAACTCGCATCAAGCGTTGCTGCAATCGCCAGGTCGCCCTCCAGCTTGGCGACGGTGCCGTCGCGTATTATTCGACGCACTCTTCAGAAAATCCCGAAAACTGGTCGCTCAGCACCGGGCCCACCTGGGAGGGCGGCCTCGGCGGTGGCGACTGCTGCTCCAGCGGTGCCGCCAGGGCCGTCCACGCGGCCCTCCCCTTGACACGTTCCCCCACGGCTGCCAAAGGCGTCGCTCGCGGGGTATCCCATGCACGAGCAGCCGCGGCCGCGGCAGCCGACTGCTCCAGGAGGCCTGTTGGCTGGCGCACCGCCGAATTCCAGGCGAATGCTGGAAACGCGGCACTGGGCGCGTGGATGGCTGCCGTATGCTCCTCGTGGCGCTCGCTGAAGCGGGCGCATCGAAGCTCCGAGCCGTGAAAGCGGCAGAACGTAGCAAGGGGAGCTCCACCAGTATTGCGGCGCAGGCCCCAGCTGTCCGAGGTTCCCAAGTCGTCAAGAAATATGGGGGTATGCTCGAGGGTTTGCTTGTCCAGGCAGGTCCCCAGGAGGTGGACCCAGACATGCGACGTCCTGATTTCTTCAAAACGCCGTTTCTGGAAGTCCCCACCCTTTCCCGAGGACTGGCTTCTCATCCTGAGTCGTTTGTTGACGGTCCCGGGGCCCGCCGATGGCCTCGAGAGGCCGGAAACGACGAAAACACCCCGTCCTGAATTTTCACCAACGCGATCATGTTTGGGGAGGCAGCGAAACTTGCCGCCCGCAGTGGTCCAGGCGATGCTGTCTGCGGCACAGGGTTTGCAATCCTCCGGTTTGCTGTCGAAGTCCAGAGGAGTTTCCGCGCCTCCCTCGTCGAGCTCGCGCGCGGTAGCCGCTGGGGGGAAGGGTCAGTCTGCGCTTGGCTGCGCCCAGCAGCAGCCGTATCACGCCATCGCTCGGACGTCCATTCCCCGAGCATTTGTCGGTTTCGTGCGTGTACATGTTTCGTGAGATGATCAAGTCTGCTCCTCGATGGCCCTCGCCGAAAAAATGCACACTCCGAGCGATGCCAAGGTATAGCGTGGCTACATACGGCCCTCAGCACATTCCTCGCGGGGCTGCCACCCGGGGCATGTTCGTCCGAGTCAAGGATGGCGTGAGCGTCCACGTAGCCAGCCACGTCGGCTTGGCTCCCGCGCACCTCCCCCTCGCGGCGCAGGTGCAACACCTCGACGGCCGCGCGCTCCAACCTGGCTCTCAGGGCAGGGTCGGCACAACTGTGGACCTTGGTGTATGGGACCAGCTGTCCGTGCCAGTTGGACGCTTTGGCGGGGTGTCCATAGGGCCCCCGGTCGAATCGTACCCTTTTCCCGTCGACAATCGCCACCAAATGGTTGGGAAATCGATGCTTCCCGCCGACGCTTCGCGCCCGGATGACGTCCCGGCAGTGTTCGTCATCAGGCTTCGCGCCTCTCGACTTCCGCAAGGAGATCTCGGTCATCATCCACGGTGGTGAACTGGTCCCTGAGAGAAGGAGTTCTTTGCAAGGCCCGGTAGCACCGTTCGAGGGGACGCAGGAGCCAATCGGCGATACAGAAGGTGGCCCCCAGTGTACAGATAGCAGGGCGTAGAGCTTGATACCAACAGTGATCTTCTCGCGGGCGACCCTCCATGCGCCCCCCATCGCGAACCAAAGGCAGTCGACCAGCCAGCCGGCCACAAGGGTGAGAACCCACCTGGACCAGGACCAGGTGGGGACCCAGACATACGACGTCCTGATTTTTTCAATACGCGGTCCCCCGAAGTCCCGACCCTTTCCCCAGGTTTCTCGTCCTGAATCGTTTTTTGACGGTCCTTGTGCCCGTCGAGGTCCTTGAGAAGCCGAAAACGACGACCCACCCCCCTTCCTGAATTTTTTACCTCGCGATCGATCTGATTTTGTACATCCGCGGCCCCAGAAGTCCCGACCCCTTCCCCAGGGGTGTTTTTTCGTCCCGGATCCATTCTTGATGGCCCCCGGGCCCGATAACTGGACCCAGAAGCCGAAATCCAGGAAAACACGCGGGACTGAGAAAAGACGGATCCTCGGACCTCTGGGAACCAGGTGGGGCCCTGCCCACACTTCGAGGGTGACCTCCCGCCGCCGACGGGCCCACCCTCCCCCACCTCGGGGAGTCGCAGGCGGGCCTTCGCGAGGGGCAGCGTCACTGCCACCCCTCCCGGGCTCGCCCGAACAGACCGTCAAATCTGAAGGGGCCCAAGGACATACAAACAAATACGCACAACTCCCAGGATCCCCTATATTTTCGAATATTTTCTTGGTTTTCGCCCTCCCCCCACCTACCATACTTTCCCATATCTGGGAGTCGACGATTAATTGTGTCTGTGTGTTCTTCCCTCCTGAAATAAACCGTCCAGCTCTTCCCAATGTCTGGTTCTCAACTGGAACAGAAAGGTGCCGTCCTGATCTTCCAATTCCGCTTCCGTCTCGGGGGATTCCCCTGAGATCCTGGCGTTGCAAAATGTTTCACAACGGGTGTCTTCGCCCTGTTTCGGTCCACGGGGTCCTCACGGATCGATCCGGCTCGAAAAATGGCGCAGAAAGATGGGCAGAAAGATGGGGTCTACGGCTCTGGTCGCGATTCTTCGCGATGTGGCAATTTTTCGAACGTCGGATCTCA